CTGACTGCCCGGGGGCTTGGAGTCTGATGCAGAAACTGGACACAGCCCAACTGCACAGTGCATACAAGGCGTGCGTGCACGCACACACACACGTACACATGTGTGCACACACATGTACACACATACACGCACGCACACATATGTACACACATGCACACATAACACAGAAACACACATACAAGCACATGTACACATGTGCATACATACACACATGTACACACATACACACAAACACACACGTGCACGCGCACACATACACGCAAACACGCACACATGCACACACACACAAACACAAACACACATGCACACACACGCACGCACATATACAAATGCACATACACACAGAAACACACGTACACACACATGCACATGCATACACACATGCACACAAACACACGTGTGCACACACATACACATGCACACACCTACACACATACATACACATATTCACACACGCACACACATATACACATGCACACACACATACATATATACACATATGCACACACATACACACACACACACACACACACACACACACAGGCTGTCAAGCTATGCCTTATACCGGAACACGAGCAAGCCAAGTTTTATCAACTTAAGGAGCTGAAGGGTCAAACCCAGAACACTGGGGCAGAGATTAGGTGCGCCTATCACCTTAGTTTCAGAAGACGTGGGTGGCATTTCTATTTACGTAGGCACAGGCGTCAGTAGAAACTGCAGCACCACTAGTTTCCAGAAACACTTGGTATACACTCCAGTCCTTCCACCTGCCTGTTCAGAGACTCCACAGCTATCTCACACTCTTGTAAATTCCCAGTTATGTCTGTACTATTAGCTTATCCCTAGGAGGTTGGATGCCCCTTGAAGGCACGGTCCATCCCCACTCATCTTTTCACGCTGTGGGATTAACATAAAACCTTTCAGTTACACCTTAAGAAATCCCGCTTCCCCAAACCTCCTCCACTGAGGAAGATAATTCTACTGCCTTATATGAAGGAAGACCTGGGGCTGAACGATTCTGCCACCATCACATTCCATGTTATTTCCAATGAATAACGGGCAGAATTTTGCACCATAAGGTCAAGGGACTGTCAAGAAAAAAAAATAGGAATCTGGCAATCTCACTACTGGGCATATACCCAAGGGAATCAGAATTTAAAAAGACACATGTACCCCAATGTCCATCGCAGCACTATTTACAATATCTAGGGCATGGAAGCAGTCTAAATGTCCACCAACAGATGGATAAAGAAACTAGTACATATACACAATTACTCAGCCATAAAAAGGAAAGCATTTGAGTCAGTTCTGATGAAGTGTATGAAACTAGAGCCTATTATACAGAGGATCTCACTTGGATATAAGGCTGCTGCAGATGTTGTTGTTTGGTCACTAAGTCGTGTCCGACTCTTTGCCACCCCATGGACTGCAGCACACTTCCTTGTCCTTCACTGTCCCAGAGTTTGCTCAAGTTCATGTCCATTGAGTCAGTGATGCCATCCAACCATCTCATCCTCTGTCGTCCTCTTCTCCTCCTGCCCTCAATCTTTCCCAGCATCAGGGTCTTTTCCAATGAGTCAGCTCTTCGCATCAGGTGGCCAAAGTATTGGAGCTTCAGCTTTAGCATCAGATCTTCCAATGAATATTCAGGGTTGATCTCCTTTAGGATGGACTGGTTGGATCTTGCAGTACATGACTCTCAAGAGTCTTCTCCAGCACCACAGTTCAAAAGCATCAATTCCTCAGTGCTCAGCCTTCTTTATGGTCCAACTCTCAGATCCATACATGACTACTGGAAAGACCATAGCTTTGACTAGATGGACCTTTGTCAGCAAAGTGATATCTCTGCTTTTTAATACACAAACTCATACCTCCTCTTAAGTTAGTTTGCTAGTTTGTCAACTGTATTTTGAATCCCTGAATCTCCTTACAGGGCAGGAAATACAGACTTACTTGCAGAAGAATTTGTGTTCATCTAGAGATGGGCACAGATGACAAAAAGATACCCCCCAAACAAACAAAACCCTCCACACTATCTGTGTTTATACACATTTTTATATGTTTGCCATGATTGCATCTTTGCAAATTGCATAAAATTAGGTATCTGCTCACTGCTTTCTCTTCCCTGGTTATCTACCCTCAGCCAGTCTCCAGCTGTGAAATATCGAGGCTCAGCCTTGGAATAAAAAGGAGGACCCAGGTGGAGCCAAAGTCGGGTTTAGAACATGGGTGTCCCAGCACAGGTGTTATCAGCTAGACCTCAGAGCCTGTAGGATTCACTCTCCTTCCTGGAGAAAATGCCGTGAGCCTCTCACACAGACATTCACACCAACTGGGATTTGAACCAGAAGGCTCTGGTTATTCAAAGATGCCTGGAGAAGTCTACAAAATTCCCAGCTTGTGGGCATCTGAGAATTCATGACCAGATGCAGACTCTCAATCTAAAGGCATGCTGTGGTGGGTGATGAAACCCTTCACCCTTTTGAGCCCCTCTGCAGAAAGCGCCAACCTAACAAGGTCACAAGATGAGCAGTTTTGCCGATGATTAGGACCACCTCCCACACTGCCACGAGGATAAGGAACTAGAGATGCACCTTATGCCAACGTCACGTCAGAACCCAGACTTTCAGAAACCTCCCAAGAAGCCAGGACATTGCAATTCCATCTTTTCGGTTAAGAAAAAAACGCCCCTGCAATGATTCATCTCTGCTAAAAATGGCAAACTCATGATCTTGCTGGCATTCATTTCCCATCTAAAATAAATATACCATAATTCCGCATCTCTGATCACAACGGCAAGTTTGAGAGATCAACAATCAGGTTTGAATGTTAAAAGAAAATCCTTTTTCCCCCTCTTCTTTGCCAGCAGCTAAGTATAAACGAGAGCCAAGAGAGATGCAGGAAGCCAGAGGGCACCAGTGCCCAGCGGCAGCCCCGTCTGCTCTGCCGTTTGCACCCGTCCTCAGCTCCCATCCTGGAGGTATCCATTCAGATACTGCAGGGGCATCTTCTTGTCGTGGTTCAGTCGCTCAGCTGTGTCCAACTCTTGGCGACCCCATGGACTGCAACCATCTCATCCTCTGTCGTCCCCTTCTCCTCCTGCCTTCAATCTTTCCCAGCATCAAGGTCTTTTCCAATGAGTCAGTTCTTCACATCAGATGGCCAAAGTATTGGAGTTTCAGCTTCAGCATCAGTCCTTCCAATGAATATTCAGGGTTGACGTCCTTTAGGATGGGCTGGTTGGATCTCCTTGCAGTTCAAGGGACTCTCAAGAGTCTTCTCCCACACTACAGTTCAAAAGCATTAGTTCTTTGGCACTCAGCCTTCTTTAGGGTCCATAAAGGGTGTCAGATGACCTGCTGGGAGCTGGGGTTTCATCAGTGATAGATCAATCCAGCCTCTGCTTGTCCCACTGGCTTGTATTCCAGGTAGGTTCACAGAGCATGAACACAAGTAAACACAAACCCTGGATAAACGGGATAAACCATGAAGCTTCTAGGAAGGAAAAGAGAAGGATGCTCTGGGAGAGGGATGCAGGTGACAGTGACATGAAGCCCTCTCGCAGGACACGATCTTCAGCTGTTCACCTGGAGGGGAGGACTTAAGTTCGCCCCGTGAGTGAAGGCAGGCTGCGGTCACCTCTGCCTGCGTTCTGGGGGTGACCGGGGTGGGCCCCAGCCCCAAGACCGTGCTGGGGAGAGCGGCCATGCTGAAACTGCAAAAACAAAGAACGGCTGGGCTTGCGAGAACACAACGCCCCTGAGCACACAGGGGAGCCCTCGTTTTCACAGAACTGTAGACGCGACCTCAAGGAGAGTGCCAAAAGTCAGACAGCCCTTGGAAAAGCAGTGCTTCCTTGCAGCACCTGCCGCTGAGCTGAGTTCACAATAGGCTGGGAAGGACTGAGGCGGCAGGAGGAGCCTGTCCTTCTCTGGCTCGCTGGGCTCTGGGAAGCATTGATGAGGGCCGCCGGCATGCCCACTCCACTTTTCACCTGGAGCGAAACGTGCTTAAAACTAATAGATAAATGAATAAAGGCTTCCTGACGGCTTGCTAACTATCCAAGGCAAGACTGGGAAGTCCCTCTGCTGCTCGGTCGCTGGGGCTCAAAGTCCTCCCCTCCTCTGCCCCACCCATCAATGGAAAAGTACTGGCATGTCCACAGCTGGGTTTCTTCCAGGGGTCCCTGCAGGGGCCCGGTCTGTGCCCCCTCTAACAGCCCTCCCCCCACGGGGAAGCCCCAGCCCACAGGCCTGAGCTCTAACTTTCCTCTCTGGCCCGCCTGGTTTCACACCCTCGAACAACCCTGCCCGAATAACCAAGCAGTCAAGCGGGGCCAGGAGCCAGGAAATATGCCTTGAAAAGCAGCGAGCACTTCAGCTCCGACCATTGGCAGCTTGGCTGGGACGCTGCCCAGCGCCGACAAGGAACACAGTGACCCGGGGGTGCAGGGTGGGGTGGAGGGGAGGCAAAGCCCCCACGCCCCATAAAATAACAGCAGACGGTCAAGTGCCCCAGGAACACACGGCGATCCTGACGGAGGCGCTTCCCAGAGAGACAGACAGCTCTGGCCGGGCGGGCAGAGGGGGACGCTAGGGCCCTCGGGCTTTTCTTCGGAAGGCGACACAGTAGGCTGGCCAGGCGCGCACCTGGGCTTGGGGGGCAGGCCGAGCCCTCCAACACTTGTTCAGTGTTCCCCGACCTGGCAGCCCCGAGCTCCTCGCCGGCAGCGGGCAGGCTTTCTCCTCCTTGGGGGGCCACGCCCTCCCCAGGCACAGATTCCCTCCAGCCAAGTGTTTGGTCCAAGCCCCCAGGCTCTGACCACAAAAAGCGCCCTTTTCTTTGGCGGGCTCTCACCTCAGACGTGAGGCACCCCAGAGCCAAACCGCCTGCTAAAAGGACATCCCCAGAACATTTCTTTCGAGTCAGAGGGTCCGTGGCTGCTGGCCACCAATAGCACATCCTTCCCCTCCTTCCCCCCCGCATCCTGGGGCCTCCAGAACGGCTCCCTGGGCCCCTGCTCTCTTTACGCCCCGAGAGCAGAAACCTAAAGATGCTGCTGGCTCACGCAGGGGGCTCCTGGCCGACCCAGAGCGAGCCGGGCAGGTTTCCGGTCAGAGCCAAGCTGTCCAACAGGGCTACACGTCAGTGCCACTGTACCCATTCCAACATTTCAGTAAAACTGCAAAAAAAAATAATAATAATAATGGCAACACCCTTCCCCAGGGATTGAGAGGGACAGGGGGTGAGGGGTGGGGTGGGGTGGGGTGGGGAGACTCCAGCCTCCCCTTGAAACACTCCAGTGTGCTCTTGGAAACATTCCACCCGCATAGTGGGAGAAAAAGACATTCTTCACGCGAGTTTAGAGGATTTTTGTTATTAAAAAAAAAAAAATTTTTTTTTAGGTCATACAGAACCTGGTTGTGAAAGGAAAAGAAAATGCCAGCCCTGTTTGACAGGCATCAGATTTATGACCGTTTTTTAAAGCCTCAAGGACGTCACGAGGATCGGCCCACCCACCGTCCTGCCTCTACTGTAAACAGGGCCAGGGCCCCTTCCCGCCCTCGCTGTATCGAATCTGCGGTCCCTCACCTCTGAACAGCCCTTGTTCCCTCGCCTTGGCCTCCGCGGGGCTAAAATGATGCCTGTCCGTATATATATGGAGGGTACACCGTGGAGCTCTCTGGACTCAACCTCCAAGACAAACAGGGCCGACTCACGCCTCCACCGTCTGCAGGCAGGCCGCAGATGTTAATAAACACGGTTGGGGTTTACGGTCCGCCCATCGGGTTCTCCATCCATTTTACACCCGACAAGTCAGGAGATCGTTGTGTGTGGGTTTTTTTTTTTTTCCCTTTCCCTCGTCTCTTAACATATGAACTCAGTAAACTGCTGTCAGGCTTGGCGATAAATTTATGAATTTTGGCCTCCAGATGTGGCTGGAAATAAAAGTAAACACAGGGAGTGAGCCACTGAGTTTCAGGTTTGTGCCCGGTGAAGCTGAGTCTGCAAAAAAATACCAGGGCGGAAAGAGACTCGTTTGCCCTTTTCAATGAGACACCAGGATATCTGAAAGGTAGGGACGCCATTCAGAGCAGGAAAGAGACGCCAATTTTAGAAAACTGGAAAATTTTAGGGTGAGGATTAGAGTGCAGAGATTTGCATCCCTATTCAGTGAAAGTGAAAGTGTTAGTCGATCAGTGGTGTCCGAGTCTACGTGACCATGGACTGCAGCCTGCCAGGCTCCTCTGTCCATGGATTCTCCAGGCAAGAGTACTGGAGTGGGTTGCCATGCCCTTCCCCAGGGGATCTTCCTGACCCAAGGACTGAACTCAGGTCTCCCGCACTGCAGATGGACTCTAGTCTCCAGGAAAGCCCACTCAGTCATTCAAAACTGAACCCCTCCCTGGGACCGGGACACAAGCCTGTCGAAGAAAGTCTTCGGATGAGAAAGAACTGAAAAAAAAACAAAAACAAACAAACAAAAAAACGCCTTTCATGAGATCTTCTTTCCTAGGACCACCTATCCAGAAAGAACAGAAGACAGGGGAGTGTTCGGAGAAGACGCAAAGAGTCAAGCATATCCTGACAGGTCTGTCAGTTCCAATCAGGAACCAACAGGTTGCACCAGATTGATACAGACTGACGTTAAGTCAGAAAGAGAAAAACAAATATCATGTGTCAACACATATGCGGGGAATCTAGAAAAACAGTACAGATGAACCTATTCCCAGGGCAGGAAGAGAGACGGAGATGTGGAGAATGGACATGCAAACATGGAGGGGTGGTGGGAGGAAGGGAGGGGAGACAAATCGGGAGATTAGGATCAACATACATACACTCAGTTCAGTTCAGTCGCTCAGTCATGTCCGACTCTCTGCGACCCCATGGACTGCAGCACGCCAGGCCTCCCTGTCCATCATCAACTCCTGGAGCTTGTCCAAACCCATGTTCATTGAGTCGGTGATTCCATCCAACCATCTCATCTTCTGCTGTCCCCTTCTCCTCCTGCCCTCGGTCTTTCCCAGCATCAGGGTCTTTTCAAATCAGTCAGCTCTTCGCATCAGGTGGCCAAAGGATACATACACTGCGGTGTGTGAAATAGCTAGCTGGTGGGAACCCGCACCAAGCAGGGGACGCTCAGTTCAGGGCTGTGCGATGACCGAGATGAGGGGGATGGGGTGGGGAGAACCACGAGAGCGGGGATATGTGTATCCTTGCAGTTGATTCATGGTATTGGGCAGCAGGAACTAATACAACATTGTAAAGCAATTACACTCCAGTTTAAAAGGGGTGGGGGAGGGCACTCAAAGGCTTTTCAAATCAGAAATCCAGCTAACCTAACCAGAGTAAGAAGAAGGACAGAAAATACCATCCACACCTGAAAAGGGCCGTGTGTTATAACTTGGCATTTCTTATGCTTTCTCTTTAGAAGAAAAGAGAGAGAGAGATGGGGCCTGAGGCATAGCATTTGAGTGAAGTGAACACCACATCTCTTTCTGGAGTGTGTTTGTTTTAGCTGAGTAATAAAACAAAAAAATTCATAAGACAAAAGTTTTCTTGGTAACAATTCAGTAGAAATATTTGTGAAGTCATAACCAACTGCACTTTGCTAAAGATGCTCCCCTCTGGAAATGGCTTGGCAAGGTGGGGACGATAGGCCGCAGTGTGTATTAACAGGGTGGGCAGTGGTCATTACAAGCCCTCTTTGTTCCAGAGTAAAGGCCAGTAACTGACCTCCAAACATCAAGGAGCAGAACTACATGTGCCTGAAGACTGGATCCAGGAAGCCACTGGGAACTGAATCTTTGGAGAGAGGTCATTAGCAATACACTAAAAGAAATTCATTCAGGTTTTCCAGCAATGGATTTTATATCTTGTTTTCTTTTTTAACTGGGACTCTAAGATGAACTTATTATTATTTTTTTTTTTTTTGCCAACAAAGGTCCATCTAGTCAAAGCTATGGTTTTTCCAGTGGTCATGTATGGATGTGAGAGTTGGACTATAAAGAAAGCTGAGCACTGAAGAACTGATGCTTTTGAACTGTGGTGTTGGAGAAGACTCTTGAGAGTCCCTTGGGCTGCAAGGAGATCCAACCAGTCCATCCTAAAGGAGATCAGTCCTGAATATTCATTGGAAGGACTGACGCTGAAGCCGAAGCCCCAATTCTTTACTGCTGGGCCGCAGGGGAGGACCTTATACACCTGAAAAATGCTTTATTTAGCCTGATGTGTGCTTTAACCTTTTTTAAAGAAATTAGGTGATAAGATGTAATGATGGGAGATTTTTTTAGGCTTTGCATAAAAATCTAGATTTCTGGATGGTCTTGAAAAGTGAGAAGATCCATCTTCCTCACACCTATATTTCTACACAGGAACAGGTAATCAGAGTTGAAAAGCTGTCTCTTTAAGGCAGGGCATGGGCCCTCCAGTGTACTGCAATCCACACCATGCCAAAGCACAAGTCGTAATCATTTGGGTTAACTTCCTGGACCCTGTAGGTATCTGAATTTGTAATTCCTGGTAAAAAATCATCTCCACTGTGCAGTTTTAATTTAATCTTTCTCATGTGAATGTCAACAATGGATGTTGACCCGCTAAGCCCTTCCACATACGTGTGAGTAACATGGCTTGGTAAACAGGGAGGACTTGATACCAGTTAAGTGTCACTTACAGATTCCCCAGTGCGAGCCAGCAGAACTTTCACTGCTGTGACACTCCAAAGCTCTTAACCACGAAACGACTTGAGCAAATGTGTTAGATATTTATAGTGAAAGTGAAGTCGCTCAGTCCTGTCCGACTCTTTGCCGACCCCATGGACTATACAGCCCATGGAATTCTCCAGGCCAGAATACTGGAGTGGGTAGCCAATCCCTTCTCCAGCGGATCTTCCCGACCCAGGGATCAAACTGGGGTCTCCTGTATCAGAGGCAGATTCTTTACCAACTGAGCTATCAGGGAAACTGCTGCTTACTTAACAGCTGCCCAAAAGGACCTAAGAAAGCATCCAACAGACGTAAGGCATCCCTCCCCCCTCGCACATTTAAGTTACTGTCATATACAGATCACAGTATTAATGTATTCTCAGGGGGCCTAACATCCAAAGTCTGCCTTTGTGTACAGACACAAGAGCTAGTTTGAAGGAGCGCCCACTGGCAAATCAGGGACATTTTGGTACCAAAATAATTAAAGTAAGTAGTAAACCACTGAATAATTAGTGAGTTCAGTGAATGGAAAGGTATATAAATAAATGAAGAGGAGGGAGGTCTCTCACCAACAGTGGAACACCGAGAACCAAATGATAAATGCTGAGCAAGCACTAGGGGGGCAAGGTCACTGGCAACCATCATGGTAAAGGCGGGTTCAGGCAAGCATCACCACCGGATGCTAATTCAGGTAGGAATTTCATCGAGGATCTTTGCATGACCTGAAAGTCTCCCCAGTAGACTATTCACTTGTTTCAAGGGAGAAAGAACATAGTAGTCATACACGGGAGAACTCAGACAATACCAAACATGAACCACCAACATTCACATCACCAGTTAGGACCGGGTGGATGTTGGGTACCCCCAGATGTGACACAATGAGAAAGATACCACAGCACCGAGCCAGGAGTCCAGCCCGGAAAACATAACCTGCATCTAATCATGAGGAAACTTCAGACACAACATGAGGACTTCTCCATTAAACGATGGAGGAGGAGGGAATGGCATCCTTTCAGTGTCCATGTCAATCATAACACACTCCCTTAAAGGCTGCAGAGTGCGGGGTACACATAAGACATGCCAAGGAGTAAAACAGAGCCCTTGGTTTTGAAAAGCCCGCATTACAGGTAAACACTGGGTCACAGTGAGCAGCTAAATGAATGCCAACAGGTAAAGAGACAATGATTTTAGCCTAAAACTTTACCCCAAAACTTACAAATGAGTTTACCCTGATGAGAAATGAGGATACCCACTGCAGAGCAGCATCTAGGGCCAAGAGGCCACTGGCCTTCACAGGTAATAAACTCGAGGAGGTGGACAGAAAAAAGGACACGAAGAGCTGACATGTGAAGAAATCTCAGGGTTAAGGATGCAAGTTTGGGAGTCATTTTTATTAACGTGAAGGGTGTGTCGAAAACCACGGCAGTGGGTTGAAATTTATAGAGACCAAGGGCCGAAGTTCATCCATGAACAGGAGGCAGGATGAGAGGGCGTCTGAGGGCGGTCAGCGTGCAGAGGTCGGGAGTGAACACAGGGGGCCGAAACTAAGAAGAGACAGGCAGGTCAGAAGTGGTTTAGAGGTGCCCGCACAGAAGACGTAGGAACGATGGAGCTGGGGTTCCAAGAGGGAAGGATGGGTGCGTGGCTAAAATCAGACGCAGAATTCACAGCAATCCTGAGGCTCTCTGTGCAAGCAAAGAAGCAAAGAAGCGGCCATGCCTGAGAAAAGTGTGAGGCTAAGAAAGGGCCTTATCCGTGGTCACAGAGCAGGCCAGAGAGAGAAGCAGAGAGAAAAGAGGGAGTGATCATTTACGCGCATTTTCTCAGTCACAGTTGGGCTCTCGGCTCCGGAGAGAACCACAATCTAGGGCGAGAAGAAAGCCGTCCGGCCTAGGGAGGGACAGATGGGGAGAAGGCTGCAGCTTCAGTGTCAAGAAGGAACCGAGGATTTCCTCGGTGGCTCAGCGGCCCAGCAGTTAAGAGTTCACCTGCAGGGAACACAGATTCAGTCTCCGGTCTAGTAGATTGAGATTGGGACCAATAGCTGGCCCCATGAGCCACAACTACTGAGCCTGCGACCTAGAGCAACAAAGAGAGCCCCCACTCACAACTAGAGAAAGCCAGCTCGCAGCAACAAAGACCCAGGCGAGACAAAAATAAAAGAGTAAAGTAAACAAACCTAGCCTTAAAACAAAGAGCAAGAACCGAACGGGTCAAGCGGAGGATGACAACACGAACAAACCTGACAGGCTGTGCTTCTGAGCACGCTCCCCTCCACTTGTGATGTGGGGAAGGACAGGGTCACATGGGACAAGGGAGAATGAGCACAGACCTGGGGGCTGGGGGGAGGCAGGAAGAGCCTGCGGACAACGGAGAAGGACGCGGTGGGGGCCAGGAGACGGCCTCCAGACGGTGTCTGCATCCTGGTGGGAGCCCTCTCTCCTGTCTCCATCCCATTCTCTCCCCGAGGATCACTTACCTGGCTTGGGGAGAAACCATGGTAACAGGAAGCCCAAAGAAATGACTGAAACGCTAGGAGGACACCGCGCCGCACGGGGCCACGTTTCTGATTTTGGGGAAACTGGATCCTTCAGCAACAAAGGGCGAGGTGACAGGCGGGCCTCTGCTGATGGTTCCAACAACCGGATACGGCCTCTGTGGGATGAGCAAGCTGGCTGCGGCCGCGGCCAGGCAGCGGATGGGAATCAACTGTGCCTGGGTTTCCAGTGTCCTGCTCGGGAGCTCCGGGAACACTGAGCCCCGTGCCAGGATCGTCCTCTCCCCCCGGCCAGCTCCTCCCACCCCCAGCCTGCTCTCACAGTCCCCTTCACATCCGGCGAGCAGCAAGGGACCCAAGCGCACGCTGCTCCTGGTCCTTGCTCTGCATCCTTTCCCCCATCCACACCTGCAGCTCTGTAACTCTGGGATCACACAGGAGGATGCTAGGGAATGAACACCGTGTCCTCCCCACAAATTCACATGCTGAAACTCCAATCGCCAATCTGATGGTGTTTGGAGGTGGGGTCCTTTGGGAGGTAGTTATTTCATGAGGCTGGAGCCCTAATGATTGGAGTGTGTGTGTGTGTGTGTGTGTGTGTGTGTGTGTGTGTGTGTGTGTGTGCTCACGCGCGCTAAGTCACGTCCAGCTCTTTGTGACCCCATGGACTGTAGCCCACCAGGCTCCCCTGTCCATGGAAGTTTCCAGGCAAGAATCCTGGAGCAGGCTGCCATTTCCTCCTCCAGGGCATCTTCCTGACCCAGGGATGGAGCCCGTGCCTCTTGCATCTCCTACACTGGCAGGCGGGTTCATTACCACTTTGCCACCTGGAAAGCACCATAATGGGATTGGGGCCCTTATAAAAAGAGACAAGAATTAATCACCAAAAACTGGTCTATAAATCCAGGGTAAAACAAAGGCCTTCCTACCTGCCGGACAGGAATTTGCTTCTCTCTCTCTCCCTTCCCTCCTCTGTCCTTCCTTCTCTCCCCCTAAATCTACAACGAGAAGACGTCTGTCTGTACACCGAGACCCTGACCACACTGGCCCTGTGTTCTTGGACGTCTCAGCCTCCAGAACCCTGAGAAACAGACGTTTGTCATCGAAGCCCCTGGTCTGTGATAAACTTTTGTTAGAGCAGCCAGAGTGGACCAAGACAAAAAGCAAAGGCTTCAGATGAACGCAGAACGGAGCTGGGAATGTCCACTCTGCCACAGACAAGACTTCAAGCAGCCCAGAATGTCCCCTGCCCTACGCCAGGTACACACACAGATCTCCATGCCACGGCACGTCGGTCTAATCCACACCTGGTGGCATTACCAACACAAACAAAAACACACCCTCACCCCCTTCCTCCAGCTCACATCTGAAGGACATTTTCTGACTTGATTTATTGGAGCCCGCGGTGGGCAGTGTTCGAGGGCCAGCATCACAGGACCTCATGTGGGGCCCACTGGAGCATCTCCCCCGGAGTGAAGGGACCCAGAGACCCAGGGCACCCACCGGCAGGCTTCCACATCTCTGGAAGCCTGAAGATTTTACTCTTTTATTTTTCCTAACCCTGAGGAAATGGTACGAGATGGCTGCTGTCACCCTGGTGCTTCCGCAGCCAAGCCCGTCCTGCCGGTCCTCTGCCCCGACCCCTCCCCGGCTCCCCTCCCGGCCAGGTCCAGAAGTGTCTGGGATGCGCGCAGAGGAAATGCCGCGGCGGCCACAGCACCCACAGGCTGCTCGCGCCCTGGTGGTCCTCGCCGGTGCGGTCACGGCTCGCGGCCAGACGCCCGCGGCCCTTACGCGCAGGTCCTGCCAACCACAGACGCTTTCAAACAGGGCCCGTGAAAGGGCGCTTCAGCTCCAGCCCCCCTCCGACCGACATCCTGGGAGACACGGTCCGCAAGGAAAATATTTTCTTAAAGTGACTCTCTGGTTTTGGAGGGATTACCTGCCATAGGGGAATTACTAATTTTTTCTTTTTCCTTTTTTTTTTAAGAAAAGCATTGAGCCGCCCCTGGAAGAGCAGCCCTCGGAGAGAAGGGAAAAGAAATGTCACCCTCCTCTCTGTCTCTCTCTCTCCAGACCCGCCTGAATTTGAGGTTTGGCTCAAACACCCAGGCGGGGCCGGCCAAGAGAAAGGTGTGGTGCAGGCAAGGCCACGGCCAGGAGCCCAGCAACCGTCAGCTTGAATCCCAACCCGAACCTCACCTAACTCGGAGCGCCGTGACCCACTTCATCTCGCTGGGCCTGGGGGCACCGTCCAGTGAGACTCGGGACTCCTGACTTCACTGGGGAGCAGGGAGCTTAGCTCACATGTATAAAGTGTTTTCAAGATGAAGAGGGCCTGTGCCTAAAGGAGGCTGCTATTAGTTTAACTACCTGTTAAAAAAGAGAAAAAGATTTCCATCGGGGTCTAACCACCCGCTCCCAGCACCTGCAGAGCCCGAGTTACAGGAAACCCATCCTCATAGACAGTAACTCTCAGCTGCTTCTATTTATACGCAGGGCATGGAGACAGTGTTCCCCTAAGCTTGAGATGGCAAACAACAAGGGGGCACCCGAGTTTGTTTTAGGTGATGGGCAGACAGCACAAAAGGACATCGACTCACAGCGGGACGGGCACACTCTCTTTACCTTCTTATGTCTATTTCTGGTAATTAAAAAAATTATTATCTTTTGCCATACCGTGGGGCATGCGGGATCACAGTTCCCCAACCACAGATGGAACCCGTGCCCCCTGCATTGCAAGCAGGGAGTTTTGTGTTTTTTTTTTAATTTTAATTGGAGGCTAATTACTTTACAATATTGTGGTGGTTTCTGCCATACACTGACATGAATCAGCCACAGGTGTACATGTGTCCCCATCCTGAACCTCCCTCCCACCTCCCTCTCCATCCCATCCCTCAGGGTCGTCCCAGTGCACCAGCCCCGAGCATCCTGTATCATGCATGGAACCTGGACTGGCGATCTATTTCACATATGGTAACATACATGTTTCAATGCTATTCTCTCAAATCACCCCACCCTCACCTTCTCCCATAGAGTCCAAAAGTCTGTTCTTTACATCTGTGTCTCTTTTGCTGTCTCGCATATAGGGTCATCGTTACCATCTTTCTAAATTTCATATATATGCATTAATATACTGTATTAGTGTTTTTCTTTCGGACTTACTTCACTCTGTATAATAGGCTCCAGTTTCATCCACCTCATTAAAACTGATTCAAATGTGTTCTAATAGCTAAGTAATATTCCATTGTGTATATGTACCACAGTTTTCTTATCCATTCATCTGCTGATGGACAGCTAAGCTGCTTCCACGTCCTGGCTATTGTAGACAGTGCTACGATGAACACTGGGGTACACGTGTCTCTTTTGATTCTGGCTTCCTCGGTGGCAAGCACAGAGCCTTAAACACTGGACCACCAGGGAAGTCCTCTACCTTCTCTGTTTTTATCCTTGTTTTTAAAAAATATTTATTTGCTCATTTGGCTGGGTCAAGTCTGAGTTACGGCCACACGTGATCTTTCCTTGCAGCACCTGGATTCTCTAGTTACGGCTCTCAGGCTGAGTTGCCTTGTGGCATGGGAGATCTTAGCTCCCCAACCGGGGATCGAACCTGTGTCCCCTGCAAAGGGGATTCTTAACCCTGGGAGCATGGGGGAGGGCCCTGCATCTCCTTTTATCTCTACCGATTACGTGCGAGGAGAAGAGCTCCATCCCATGCTGCTTCAGATGTCTGACACTTCCCCTCATGATAAAGAGAAAAATAGCCTCTGAACCAGAGGCTTGGCAGACAAGAGCATCTACCTGGAATCTATAAACATGGTTTCGATTTCAACATGTTCATTATTTTCATATTTACTTTGGATGTATGGGAAGGGATCCTGGTTCACTCAATTTCGTTTAAAAATAATGCTTCCTTAAGCCAGATTCTCTCAGCCTCGGCCATCCTGGCATTTCGGGCTGGCTCACTCTTTGCGGTGGGGCCTGTTCTGTGCCTGCCAGGATGCTGAGTGGCACCTCTGGCCTCATCCGCCCGCTCAACGTCGGGAGCGCCTGCCCCTGCTCTCCCCCAGCAAGTGCGGACAGAAAGAAATGCCTCCAGACAGGGCTCAGTGTCCCCAGGGGGTCAACTCCCTCCTGCACTGAGAGCCACTGCTTTTATTTTTTTAAGTTATAAATGATTCTATAAGTGATTGTCAAAGGGGAAAGGGCGGGGGAAGAGGAGCTTGGGATCGACGTACACACACAGTGCAGTGCTCTGGTCCGTCGGGTCCGTCCTGCGACCCCGTGGACGGCCGCCGGCAGGCTCCTCCGTCCACAGGACTCTCCAGGTGAGAATACTGCGGTGGGCTGCCATGCCCTCCTTAAAGGCACACTACTGTGTATAGAATAGATAACCAGCAAGGATCCACTGTAGTGTACAAGGAACCCTACTCAACATTACGCAATAACCTATAAGGGAAAAGAGCCTGAAAATGTGTGTAAACACATCACACACACACACACACACACGCACATAGCCGAATTGCTGTGCTGTATGCCCAAAACTTACATGATATTGTAAATCAACTATACTTACATAAAATTTTTTTAAAAAGAGAGAACCACTGCTTTTAACCTTGTTTTACGTCCCTGGATATGTTCCAGTGTCTTCGGGTTAATAGTCTATGGGGACTTGAATTTGTATCCTACCAGTGTGAAAACTGTATAAATTGTTTAAATTTGTGTCATAACTGGGTGAAAATTATATAAATCTTAATTATGTTGAATTGGTTCATGGTGCTTTTCAGGTCTACTATATGCTTCTACTCTTCTGTATATTCAATTAATTCTTGAGAATACGATATCGAAACACCAACTAAAAGAATCTCAATTTATCCACTTAAAAATAATTTTAATACATGGTAGAACTATATGTAACTTTGTTCTGCATTTTCCAAGTCTCCTATAAACGTGTTATCATACCTTCATCATTTAAGACATAAAAAAGAGAACCGTTGCTTTTACATGGTCAGTTAAAAACTTAATAATAGAATTGAACAGTAAGGGTTGGACTAAAATGGCTCCAGGCTTGGAAAACTGGTAACGGAGCAGCAGTCCTTCTGGGCCACGTCTGCTTATGCAACAGAACCACGGTCTATGGCCTGGGGGCAGGCAGGCTGTGGACCCAGACAGGGTCATTCCCAAAGACTCCGATTCGGCAGGGGCCTCTCCAACCATTTCTGAAAGTCACAGGAAAGAGTGCGTAGAAACCGTGTTCTTTCCAGGCTTTCCCAGGGGGTGGGGGGGTCAGGCCCCAATTATCAGATCTCCAGACTCAACAGACACCCACTTGTCAAGACCGCCCAGAAGCCAGAGCCAGGAGGAGATGGGGGCAGGCATTGGGAGCCGCGGGCCAAGCCGCTCAGAAATGTTCTGAGGACCCAGAAGGACCTCACGAGGTCTCCCAGGTCTTTCTTCCGATGGAGCAGGTGAGCTGCAGGGAGCAGGGCCCCGAGACGCCTCCCAGGGCACAGTCCCTCTGCCGCAGAGAGGGACCCCTCTCAGCACAGGGCAAGGCAATTTGCAGCTTAAAGAAAATGTCACTGCCCTCACACCCAACGTATGAAGCAAAGGCTTATTAATGGGCTGCTTTCAGTGTTCAAAAATCAGCAGCTGCGGCGCGATGTAAATGAAAGCATGAAAACCTGTGCTGGCAGCCGCCCAGCGGGCAGGAGGGAAGCTTGCTCCGTCACCACCTCCAGCCCAGCGGACACCGAGCGCCGGCTGTGAGCCCCGCTCACGTCCCCTCGGCACCACCGAGACTGGCTTTCCAAGAGATCTCTTCCTTCTCTCTCTCTCCTATCAAGCATGTTCATTCCTCACCTCCTTCTCCCGAGATCACAAGGAAGCTAAGTGGACAAACTTCCTGGTTCATGCAGAGTTGAAACTGTCAATTAAATAGACACCAGACCAAAAAAAAAAAAAGTCTTCATGTCGAAGACTTGGAGTCACAGCTCTGCCAGAAAAACTTCTCCATCTCACAAGCCCAGCACCGGGCATCTCAAACAAAGTCCAAATAACAAAAGGGACTACTGTGGGCCACTGGCAGAAAGGAGGTAAGAGAAACATGGACGGAGCGTTCTCAAAGCACCCGAGCCCTGTCTTCTGAGATGATAAACCAAAGTAGGATTGTGCGTGAGTGCTGTCGCATCCAACTCTTTGCAACCCCATGGACTATAGCCACCAGGCTCCTCTGTCCATGGGATTCTCCAGGCAAGAATACTGGAGTGCTCAGCCATTCTCTTCTCCAGGGGATCTTCCCAACCCAGGGATTGAACCTGGGTCTCCTGCATCGCAGGCAGTTTCTTAACCATAGGAGCCACAGGGAAGCCCAATTACAGACTCTGAACAAAGCCCAAATAAGCCACAGATGTCCCCAGGAGAACCAACGGCCCTGGTGGCAGGCTTACAGCAGGACGGGATGAAGCAGGTTCTATAATCTCATTAAAGTTGCCTGTCGGCAGTTTTATGCTTCCCTGCTTATCCTAACATAAAAAATAACTTCTTTCCTGAAGTCTCACATGGATAAACCCAGCGACATGAGAAAGATGCTAACTGAAGAGCTGTCTTTCATGCCAGATTTGTTGTTATTTAGTTCCTCAGGCGTGTCTGACTCCTTTGTGACCCCGTGGACTGCAGCCCACCAGGCTCCTCTGTCCATGGGATTCTCCAGGCAAGAAGACTGGAGCGGGTTGTCATTTCCTCCTCCAGGGGATCCTCCCAACCCAAGGATCAAACTGGGGTCTCCTGCCCTGCACGCGGGGGTCTTCACCACTGAGCCGCCAAGGCTGGGTTCATCACCAGAAGGATGCACTGATAAGGAGGACTGTGCAGCATACCTGTGGAATCTAGAAAAATCCTACAGAGAATCTTATTTGCA